CCGCGATGCTGCTGCTTGCCCTGCAGGTAGCGGCGCACGTCCTCCCGCTGAGCCAGCTCAGCCACCGTGGTGCGGCCCTGCGCCAGCCGCTGCAGCTCCTCGGGGCGCAGGACGCCCACGTCCTGCAGCCGCTGGGCCGGCACCTTCCGCCGCAGCCCGTCAAAGGCGAACTCGGGCTCCGCCTCCGGGCCATCGGGGGCCTCCCGGCCGTTGGGCAGGGTCTTGGCGGCCGCGGCGGCCTGCGAGGCCACGATCTCCTGGGAGTGGGCCAGCGCGGCCCGGTGCTCCTCCTCCAGCCGCTGCAGCCGCTCCCGCAGCTTCTGGTTCTCCTCGGCCAGCAGCTTCTCCTGCGCCTGCCGCTGCTGCTCCAGGCGCTGCAGCTCCTCCTGCTTGCGCCGCACGCCCTCCTCGGCCTCGCGCTGCCGCCGCCGGGCCTCCTCCATGCTGGCCACCAGCTGCTGCTTCTCCTGCTCCATCTGCTGCTGCTGCCGCTGCTGCTCCTCCCGCAGCGTCTTCGCCTTGGCCACCTCGTCCTGGAACAGCCGCTCCAGCTTGGCCTTCTCCTGCTCGATGAGGTGCTCCCGCTGCAGCAGGCTGTCCTTCTCCGAGAGGAAGGTCTGCTGCAGGGCCTGCGTCTCCTGCAGCAGCTGCTCCTGCTGCACCGTCTGCATCTGTGGAGGGAGAGGGGGGTAAGGGACCTCAGCCCGGGAGCCCCCCACCCTGCCCGCCCCTGAGCTTGCGGGGCCGGTACCTCCTCCGACTTGAGCTGGAGCAACCTGGCCTCCTGTTTGAGCTTCTCCTTCTCGCGCTCCAGCTCGGCGATGGCCTCCCGCAGGCGCCCGGCATCCTGGTCGCTCTGCTGCCGCTGGATCTCCAGCGTCTGCACCAGAGTCACCTTCTCCTGCGTGGCGAGCTCCGTGCGGTGCAGCTTCTCCCCGATCTCCTCCGCCTGCTTCCGGAAGCGCTGGGCGTCCTCCTCCGCGCGGGCCTGCGCCCGGCTCATCTCGGCCACGCGCAGCTTCAGGCGCTCGGCCTCGGCGCTCATCTCCAGCTGCCGCTGCCGCTCGGCCTCCAGGGTCCGCTGGAAGCCCTGCGTCTCCTGCGCCAGCTGCTGCTCCATCTGGGCCTTGTCCTCCTGCAGGCGCCGGGCCTGCTCCTGCGCCAGCTCCTTCTGCTGCTGCAGCAGCTCGGCCTCAGCCTTGAGCCGCGTGGCCTCCTGCACCGCCTGCATCTTCTCCTTGAGCATCTTCTCGGCCAGCGCCCGCTGCTGCGCCAGGTCCTCCTCCGCCAGCTGCCGCAGCCGCGCCGCCTCCTGGGCCGCCACGCTCAGCCGCGCAGCCTCCTCCGCCACCTGCTTCATCTTCTCGGCCTCCTCCTCCAGGAAGCGCTGCGTGTTGTCCTTGTCGCGCAGGATGAGCGCGCGGTTTTCGGCCTCGATTCGCGCCTTGAGCTTGCCCAGCTCCTCCATCTGCACGCGCACCGAGAAGAGCTCCTCCTCCACCTGGCTGCGCTGGCGCGCCGCCTCCGTCACCTCCGCCTTCAGCCGCTGCAGCTCCTCGTCCAGGATGCCCTTCTGGTGGTCGGTCTCCTCCAGCTGCAGCCGCAGCGTTGTCAGCTCCTGCTCCACCTGCGCCTTCTGCCGCAGCGTCTGCTCCGCGAACTTCTTGTGCTTCTCCATCTCCGCGTCAGCCGCCTGCTTCTGCCGCAGGGCTGCCTGCTCCGCCTGCGCCCGCCGCTTCGCCTCCTGCTCGGCTTCCTTTCGCAGCTTCTCCGCGGAGGCCTGTGCCTGCGCCCGGGCCTGCGCCTCTTGCTCCGCCGACTGCTTCAGCCGCTCCGCCTCCTCCACCTGCAGGCGGGACTGCGCTGCTTCCCGCTCGGCCTGCTCCCGCGCCTCCTCGGCCTCTTCCGCGGCCCGCCGGGCGGCCTCTGCCTCGCCGCGCAGCCGCTCCAGCACACTCTGCTCCTGCTGCAGCGTCTGCTGCAGCTCCTGCTCCTTCTGCTGCACCGCGAACACGTGCGCCTTCTCCTCCGCCTGCAGCCGCTTCTGTGCCGCCTCCTGGGCCAGCTGCAGCTGACGCGCCGACTCCTGCTCCGCGCGCTCGCGCAGGCGCCGCGCCTCCTCCACCTTGGCCTTGAGCCGCTCCACTTCCTCCAAGGCCGCTTTACGTTGCCGCGCCGCCTCCTCCTCCGCCGCCAGGCTCTTCTGCACACGCTCCTCCGCCTCACGGCGCCGCTGCTCCTCCTCGGCCGCCAGCTGCCGCTGCCGCGTGGCCTCCAGCTCCGCTTGCTCCCTGCTGCGCTGCGTGTCCTCCGCGTTGCTGCGGATGCGCACCAGCTCCAGCTCCAGCTCCGCCTTGCCAGCGGCCGCGCGCTCGAAGCTCGCCTTCAGGGCCAGGATCTCTTCCTCCACCTGCCGCCGCTGCCGCAGCGTGTCCTCCACCAGCCCCTTCTGCCTCTCCAGCTCGCTCTCCGAGGCCTTGCGCAGCTGAGCCAGCCGCTCCTCAATGTCCGCCTTGTGCTGGGCCGCCTGCTCCTCCAGCCGCCGCCGGTGGAAGGCCTCGTCCTCTGCCAGCCGCCGAAGGCGCTCGTTTTCCGCCTCCTTCTCCTTCAGCGCGATCTCGGCCTCTGTCTTGAGCCGCGCGGCCTCGCTGATGGTGGCCAGCTTCTCAGTGAGCACCCGCTCCGCCTCCGCCCGCTGCCGCGCAGCGTCTTCTTCCGCCAGCTGCCGCTGCCGCTTGGCCTCCTCCGCCAGGGCACGCAAGCGGGCAGCCTCCTCTGCCAACTCCCGGAACCGCCCGGCCTCGGCTTCCAGCCGCTGCTTCGACTTCTCGTTGGTGGAGCGCGACTCCTCCTCGGCGCGGGCCTTACTGGCCAGCAGCACCTCCATCTCTGCGCGCACCTTGGCCAGCTCTGCCTCCAGCTCCTGGCGCTTCTGCTTGGCCTCGGCCGCCTCGCGCTGCAGCCGCCCCAGCTCCTCCTCCAGCAGCAGCCGCTGCTGCTCCCCCTGCTCGGTCTCGGCCCGCAGCCGGATAAGCTCCTGCTCTGCGGCCAGGCGCTGCTGGGCAGTGCCCTCCGCCAGCTGCCGCTGCTTCTCCAGCTCCTGCTCGGCCAGCTCCCGCTGCCGCACGGCCTGCTCCTCCGCCTTGCCCCGCCGCCGCGCCTCGCGCTCTGCCTCCTCCTTCTGCTTCTCCGCCTCGGCCTGCGCCAGGCTCTTCTGCTGCGCCACCTCTTCCGCCTGCAGCCGCAGCCGCAGGGCCTCGTTGGCCTTCAGCTGCCAGCGCTCCAGCTCCCTCTCGGCCTCCTCCCGGGCGCGCTCCGCCTCGGCCTGCTGCTGGGCGTGCCGCTCCGCCTCCTCGCGCAGCTGCGTCACGGTGACGTGCTCCTCCTGGAGGGTGCGCTCCAGCTGGGCCGTCTTCTCCGCGAAGGAGGCGCGCTTGCTCTGCAGTTCCGCGGCGGCGCTGCGCTGGGCCGTCTCCAGGGCCACCTGTACCTGGCGGGTCCGCTCGACCTCCGCCTGCCGCAGACGGCGATCCGCCTCCTCCGCCTGCAGCCGCAGCTCCTCCAGCGCCTGCAGGGCCCGCTGCTTCTCCCGGGCGGCCTCCGCCTCCGCCTTCACGCGCAGGGCCAGCTCGGCCTCCGCCTGCCGCTTGCGCTGAGTCTCTTCCTGCACCTGCCGCCGCAAGCGCTCCGCCTCCTCCTGCGCCTGTCGCTTCTGCGCCTCGGCCTCCTCCGCCCGCGCCCGCAGGGCCTGGAGCTCGCCCTCGGCCCCGCTGCGCTGGCGCTCCGTGGTCTCCAGCTGCAGGCGCACCACGCGGATCTCCTCCTCGATGCGCACACGGCTGCGCTCGGCCTCCTCCGCCTGCTGGGCCTTGGCCTGGATCTCGGCCTCCGAGCTCTGCCGCAGGTGCTGCAGCTCCTCCTGGATGCTGCGCTTCTGCTGCTGCGCGTCCACCGCGGCCTCCTCGCGCCGCACCACCTCCTCCTGCATGCGCCGCTGCAGCTCCTGAGCCTCCCGCTCGGCCTGCGCCTTGGCCTGCGCGTGTGTCTCCGCCAGCTGCCGCTGCTGCTCCAGCGCGGCCTCCACCTCCGCCAGGCGCTCCCGCTCCTCTGCCCGCTGCTGCTCGGCCAACCTCTGTGGCCGCGGCAGAGAGAGGGAGAGAACCAGAGAGAGAGTGAGTGCGGGCCGGCGCGCAGGGGACACGGCACCACCACAGTCCACGCGGACAGCAGGATGGGGGATGAGGAGACAGAGGTCACAGCCCGGTGCGGGAGGGAGCGTGCACCCGCCCGGGACACAGGGCAGCGAGCGCAGCCGGCCCCACAGTGCTCACCAGCCCCTCTTCCCTCCGACAGGCGACGAGACAGACGAGAGAGAGGGAAGCAGGAGGCTCGCAGGCCCTGAGCTGCACCACCACCAGCCCTGCCTGAGCACGTGAACGCGTGACCCGACACCAAGGTGGCCACGCGGGGCAGCGGTGCCCACCGCGCCAGCTCAGAAGGACGCAAACGCCTACAGCTGACCACAGGGCCAACGGCGAGGCCACCAGGAGAAGCGGGAGAACTGGTACCCCCCTGCCCTCACCCAAGTACACCCCTGCCCGGCCGGCGACCAGCACCCCAGCTCTTCCAGAGCAGCAGCCGCGAGGATGCGAGGAACGGTGACGCGGGCTCCCGCGGAAGAACCCGAAGGAGAGCCGGTGGGGCAGGCGCACACGCAGAGGAGGAGGTTGAGGCGGAGGAGGAGGTGCCAGCCACCGTGGAGAGCAGGCCGCGCGCAGAGTGGGGCGCTGGCGGCAGCAGGGAGTGGGGGGTTGAGCTAAGTGATGACCCCCGAGCTCCCCGGGCTGCGTCTGGGCAGCAGGAGCCCCACCCCCAGGCCTACCTCCTCCTCCTCCATGCGCCGCAGCGTCTCGCTGAGGAACTTGATGTACTGGCTCGTCAGCATGGTCAGCTCGCTGTAGCGCGTGCGAAGGTCCACGTACTGGGGGCAGGAGGGGGGGCAGCCAGGGTCAGCCCCGCCGGAGCCACCCGGCCACGCCCCCAGCCCCGGCCACGCCCTCCGCCCTGGCCACGCCCCCAGCCACCAGGCCACGCCCTCCGCCTCACCTCCTGGATGACGCTCTCAGACCCTGACTGGACCTTGGGCTTCTTGGCCGGAGAGGCCACCGGCTCCAGCTGCCCCTTGTACGTGATCAGCTGGAGCTCATAGTCCTGCGGGGAGACACACCGTGAGCCGCCGGCCTCGCCCCGCCCCCGCCCTGACAGTTAGGCCTGTGCTTGGGGCCACCCCTGAGGGTCCAGGCCCCAGGACCCCAGCCTGGCTGGGATGGCAGGAGGCAAAAGACTCACTTTTGAAAAAAGAAAAATTATTTTTAATTGGTTTTAGGGAGAGAGAGAGAAACATCAATGATGAGAGAGAATCATTGATTGTCTGCCTCTTGCACGCCCCGCCCCCCCCACCCCCACTGGGATCAAGCCCGAAACCCAGGCCTGTGCCCTGACCGGGAGTCGAACTGTGACCTCCTGGTTCATAGGTCGAGGCTCAGCCCCTGAGCCGTGCCGGCCGGACAGAAGCCTCACCTTGATGGCGTTGATGTACTGCTTGGCAAACCTCTGGCACTCCTCCACCTTCTCTCCGTGGCGCTCAACTTCCTCCAGCAGCGCCTGGGGGGCCGAGGGGGGGTCAGCACAGGCCACGCCCCCTCCCCGCCCACCCGGCTCCAGCCACACGGGCCCAGGCCTACCTTCTCCTGCCGCAGCTGCTCCCGCACGGCCCGGCTGTTGGCCAGCGGCAAGGCCTGGATCTGCTCCTGCCGCTGCTTGGCGTCCTGCAGCCAGGCGCCCAGCGGGTCGGCGCTCTCCCGGTAGTACCGCAGCTGCCGGCCCAGCTGCTCCAGCTCCCGCTGCCGCAGGTCGTTCTGGGCCAGCACAGCCTGCCAGCGCTCCAGCAGCTGGGCCACCCGCTCGCGCCAGCGCTCCACCTCCACGTCCCGCTCGCCGTGCCGCTGCTGCAGCCGCTCCCCCACCTCCTGCGCCCCCCGCAGTTCGTCCCGCAGGGCGTCGAACACGGGCTGCTGCGCCTCCGCCTGGGCCCGCAGCTTCTGTTGGGGAGAGAGGGGCGGTGCTGCTTCAGCCCCAGGCCCTGCGGCTGGCCCCCGGGTCGTCCCCCCCGCCCCCGCCAGGCCCTGTTCTGATGGTGGTACCTTGAGCGCAGCCTTGGTGGCCTCGAGCTCCGGGAGGGTGGAGGGCACGGCCTGGGCCTCCTTGAGCTGCTCCTCGTGGCCCCGCAGCACCTCCTCGGCCCCCTGTGTGCTGCGGATCACCAGGCTGATGGTCTTGAGCCTGGGGGGGAGAGCGGGTTCAGAGCCGGGGGTGGGGGCGGGCTCCCGGTAGGATCAAGGGGAGAGGGCTCGAGGAACGGGGGGTACAGATGCCCGCACTGCCATGGAGGCCGGGCTGGCCGGACGGCGAGCTCACATCGGTGGCCTGGGGGCTCTCAGCCTTCCCGCCCAGGCTGGGGAGAGGGACCCATCAGCCTCAGTGAAGAAACAGTGGGTAACGCCCGGCAGGCGGGGCTCAGGGGCTGAGCGTCGACCTATGAACCAGGTCACAGTTCAATTCCATTCAGGGCACAGGCCCGGGTTGCGGGCTCGATCCCCGGTGTGGGGCGTGCGGGAGGCAGCCGATCGATGATTCTCTCTCATCACTGGTGTTTCTATCTCTCTCCCTCTCCCTTCCTCTCTGAAGTAAATACAAATATAAAATAAGAAAGAAGGACAGGGTGGGTGAGGGTAGGCATGCTGCCCCAATAACGAAGGGACTAAGAAACGACGTCGGAAACACGGATGTGGGGCCCGGGCGGGACGTGGAGGGTGAGTCCGAGGTGGGACGGGGGGGGGGGGTCCTCCTTGTGAGAGAGGCAGCGAACCCCGCGGTGTGCAGGCTGATGAGCCCGGGGACAGAAGGGGGCCCTGGGCTGGGGGACGAGGCCGGCGGGAGGACGGGCCCGGGTGGGCTCTGCATTCCCCAGGGGCACTGGGGCTGAGGGGGTGGGAGGCAGGTCCCCCATAACGACCTCTGCATGGCCCCTCCCACATCCACAGCCCCACCCCCTGCCTTCCCCCCCCCCCCTCCACACCCAAGGAGCCACTTGAGGTGGCTGGTGCCCCCACAAACCTCACTTGCCAAGGGTCGCCTCCCCTGTGGGCCTTCCTCACCCTCCTGGGCTCCACACTTTCCTCAGACACCCCCAGCTCCTGACATCACACGGGTGGGATCCCCCCAAGTCCTCACTCCCGCAGTCCCCCACCTCAGGGAGCACCCCTCTCAGCCCGGGTCCAGTCATCAGGAAGTCCTGCCTTCAAGGCACAGGGCTGACCCCCCTCTCTCCACGTCCACCTTGGTCCACACCCACCCCCTCCTTTTTGTTTGTTTATCCTCATCCGAGGATATTTTCCCATTGACTTAGAGAGAGTGGAGGAGAGGGAAAGACAGAGACATCGATGTGAGAGATGAACATCCATTGGTTGCCTGCTGCACGCGCCCTGACAGGGGTCCAGGCCGGGAGGAGCCTGCAGCCAAGGTACAGGCCCTTGACCAGAATCGAGCCTGGGACCCTTTAGTCCGCAGGCCGACCCTCTATCCACTGAGCCACACCACCTCTTGGGCACACCCCTCCACAGACCCCCCACCGTCAGCCGGTCCTGCGCCCACACAGGGAGTCGGGCCTCCTCTGCTCAGCGCCCCCCCAGGTCAGGGCCTCAGGCACCTCGCCGACCGATGCACTCACTTCTCCAGGTAAATGGCGGAGAGGCTGCGGACCTGCTCCAGCTTGACCAGGGTCAGCTCCAGCTCCGAGCGCAGCGTGGGGGCGGCCGGGGAGGGCTCAGGCAGGGCCAGGACCTTCTCGGCCTCCTCCGAGAGCCGGGCAACCCCCTTGCCCAGCCCTTCCACCTCCGCCTGTGCTTTCTGAGGAAGGAGGAGTGGAGATGAGCTGTGCACCGAGCCCAGACACACTCCCCTGGGAGTCCCAGGGTGGGGGAAGAGGAGGGGAGGGA